AATCCCTCCACCCAGTACTCATCTCACAGCTGAATTTTGACTGAGCATTCGACTAGTGGACCATCCAATTTCCAACATATTTCGTTATCAGCACGATAGCGCTTCAAAATTCAGTGCTTAAATTGAAGTGAGAGTTGTACAGTGCAAACCACCACGCTCCGAACATCATGACCGGATCAGTGAGTCTCAACGTTACCACCAACACCAACGATACCGTAAGATCGAATCGCATTATCCTCAAGAATGACGGAAGCAACTACTTGGCATGGCGCATCATTCTGCCTGTCTATCTACAAGCTCAATCGTATGCTTGGGAAGTGGTCAACGGAGATCTGGACCCACTCAAAGAGTCAGAGAAAGCCTTTCTCAGAAAGGCCACTACGAAATTGGAAACAAAAATGGGAGAGAAGTGATACTCGGTACACTTCAACAAGCAACCCTGATTCGTTTGTTCTCCAAGGATTCGGCTTTCGTGACAGCTAAGGATGCATACGATCGTCTCGTCAACAAATACCAGCCCAACAGTCCGATATTCGCTGACATTGCCATCGATAAATTCATGAGCTTCACCTACAACAAATCTAATAGCGTCCGTGACAATCTGACAATATTCCAAAAATTGGTCGATGATCTGGACGAAACAGAAAGCGGAATGACAACGAAATGCATCACAGCAAGGCTCGTCAATGCCCTCCCAGCCAGTTGGGAAACCTTCAAATCCAGCTGGGGCACCAGGGATGCAAAGCAGAAGACGTTCGAGAATCTGGTGGAAATGATCATTGCAGAAGATGCAAGGAAGAATATGAACAACTCTCAAGCACAGGATACTACAACAGCTTTAGCGGCCAGAGTCGGTGGTCGGCGACCTACCCATGGAAGGCGCCACCAACAGTCTACCTCAACAATGAGAAGCAGCAGGACGTACCAACGGAACACACCTACCATCACCTGCTGGAACTGCAACAAGCAGGGTCACAAGGCTGCTTCCTGCCGCAGCAGGCCTAACAATCGTCCCAGACAACCCACAGCTCAAATCGCCGAGGTTTTGACAACCAGTACACATCCACCTCAGCAGGAGGGATCAGAGGTGGGTGGAGTACGATTCCTAATCGATTCCGGCGCTTCGTGTCACATTGTGAACGACCGAAGATACTTCACTAACTAAGTGTGGCCTACGCTTCTAGGATTTTTCCTATCCAACGAAGTCACTGAGTTAACGATAAGGAAAATACTCCGAGAGCAAGGCGCACTTGAATTTTCGACTCGATGACGAATCTACGCTTGAGAGATGGGATACGTGAATCCCTGACTTTTGACTATTGAATGAATCCGGACACGGTTGATCGTGGTCGGTTCATCGAGAGTCTCAATTGAATTGTCGCGCAAGACAAGATGGATGCCTCCGTGAGGTTTTTTACTGATTGTCTTGCATCGATACGGCTTGCCGTAGATGGTTATTGATCGAGACCGTGACCGCGCCAGCGAAGGTGAGAACTTGCCAGTGGCGGCGGCACAATGTCTCTCCGGATTGAATCGAATGGTTTTCCTGCGCATGCGCCAACTCTGTCATTCGGCTGTCGCTTTTCCTTGCGAGTGCTCGCTCCCGGATTAACCTTATTAGATGGAAATAATGATAGATTATGAAAATGGTACACTGATAATATTGGAGGTGATAATGGCTGTGCCCGTGGCAGCGATCTTGCGTATAGAGAAACCTGTTGAATATGTCGGTTAGCATATCAATCCGGAGGCCGTGAACGTCTGTACATGTTGTGTAGGTTTTGCGCAACTAGTCCCAGAGGGACTGTTCGTC